AGGGAGCAGCACATGATAGATAGTCAGTGGATATGTGGAGAGAAAAGAACCAAGAGAAAACAATATAGTGTAGTACCTTCTGACAGTTGGTGAAAGGAGTATAAAAACACACTCCAGCTCCAGCGATCAGCTCCAGATAGTAGTGCCTGGGCGGTACAATCCCTGCCAATGTGGTGGTCCTGTAGGGCCTTAGCAGATGTTGTATCTGGATCTGATCGCAGTAGAAACTGTATGTATCTCCAAACTTGAAAGCAGTGGGTCACCATTGTAGTTATGTATGGAAAAAATAAAACAGCAAACAGTGCTCTCCGACATAAAATCAAATTTAAAAACAAACAATATAAGAGGTACTCACAAAAAAGGAGCAAAAAAGTTTTCTCAATCCCAATCGCATAGGTGGTATAATCCCCACAAAGTATATAACTGGTGTTTTCCTCTTAATAAAATCTTCTTTAAACCTTCAGGAGGGTCCAAAATGGTGTTAAATGGTGATTATTATAAATTGTTTATCATAAATACAAATATTAAAATACACTAACATGTTTCAAAAAGTTATAGTTTTTTTCAAAGTGGACATGATTTTCTCGTCGCACTTTTGAGGACATCTGGGAACTGTCCCCACCAGGCATAGTTCAAGGGCATTATTAGTCCTCATGCTATGTTCAGGTCACTAGGACCCTGCAGAGAGTACTGAAATAATGTGCTCAGCAAGGTCTGCCCTCAATGAGCTGGCCTTAGATCATATGCAGGCAGCCTGATATGAATTCACAACAGGTTGACTTGTTAGTAATTTGGGAGAACCCACCCCTTTACTCAATGGACATTCCATTTAGGTTAAAGACAGTGACTCAATTGTTCCATTTATGTATTTATTTATATTTTGAATATTATAACTTATACTAATGATCAGATTAAATTGACAAAGCATTATAGATAGCATGTGGTGCAGATGCTGAGATACCCTTGTTTAGCTACTTAACATAAAGACAGTAGCTTGTGGGACTATCATAATGATGCCATACAGAGCCAACTTGCTGAAAACTCCACTGAGTGAAAAGTGGAGGCCATGAGAAGTACGAGCCCTATTGGGCTATATATAAAAACATAGAAATAAAAGCTAGAGAGGGCATGGATATTATCACCGAGCAGGGAACTAAGGAGAGACCATATCAGGACCTTCAAAAAAGTGGTCACTGACTTGTGATCCCCTATAGAGGGGTGGAGAAGAGAGACACAAGAACACATAACAATAATACTGTGTAACCAGCAAAAAATGAAAGAAAAGGTGCCAACAAGACACAATAAAATCAAAAGTATGGGTAACCCCAAACAAAATCCCATAGTAAGAGTAAAAGTTTAAAGAGTCCTGTAAACCCATGACTTCAAAGTGTCAGGAAACACATGGAGGGATACTGACTACATCCCAAGCAGCAACAGTAGTACAAGTGATAGAAAAATTAGAATATCATGCAAAAGTTCATTTATTTTAGTAATGCAACGTAAAAGGGGAAACTAATATTTGATATAGACGCATTACATGCAAAGCAAGATAGTTCAAGCCGTGATTTGTCATAAGTGCAATGATTATGACTTACATCTCATGAAAACCCCAAATCCACAATCTCAGTAAGTTAGAATATTGTGAAAAGGTGCAATATTCTAGGCCACCAGTGTCCCACTCTAAGGGTTTCTGAGCCTTTAAATGGTCTCTCAGTCTGGTTCAGTAGGAATCACAATCATGGGGAAAACTGCTGACCTGACAATTGTGCAGAAAACCATCATTGACACCCTCCATAAGGAGGGAAAGCCTCAAAAGGTAATTGCGAAGGAAGTTGAATGTTCCCAAAGTGCTGTATCAACGCACATTAATAGAAAGTTATGTGGAAGGGAAAAGTGTGGAAGAAAAAGGTGCACAGGCAGCAGGGATGACCGCAGCCTGGAGAGGACTGTCAGGAAAAGGCCATTCAAAAGTGTTGGGGACTTTCACAAGGAGTGGACTGAGGCTGGAGTCAGTGCATCAAGAGCCACCACACACAGACGGATCCTGGACATGGTCTTCAGATGTCGTATTCCTCTTGTCAAGCCACTCCTGAACAACAAACAATGTCAGAAGCGTCTTACCTGGACTAAAGAAAAACAGACCTGGTCTGTTGCTCACTGGGCCAAAGTCCTCTTTTCTGATGAGAGCAACCTTTGCATCTCATTTGGAAACCAAGGACCCAGAGTCTGGAGGAAGAATGGAGAGGCACACACTGCAAGATGATTGAAGTCCAGTGTGAAGTTTCCACAGTCTGTGTTGATTTGGGGAGTCATCTCATCTGCTGGTGTTGGTCCACTGTGCTTCATTAAGTCCAGGGTCAACACAGCCATCTACCAGGTGACTTTGGAGCACTTCATGCTTCCTTCCACAGACAAGCTTTATGGGGATGCTGACTTCATTTTCCAGCAGGACTTGGCACCTACCCGCACTGCCAAAAGCACCAAAGCCTGGTTCAATGACTGTGGGATGACTGTGCTTGATTGTCATAGGATATGGAAATCTCTGCCTGAAGAAGTGTTTTTTTTCAGAATCTGTACAGATTTTTAAACAGCAACTTGATACATACTTGCAAAAACATAATATACTTAAACATGAGGAAATACTTTTTAAATTATGCGGTAATAGCTTCTTGAACCAGGGATATATCTGACTTCCATTCTGGGGTCAAGAAGGATTTCTTCCCCTAGTTTGTTACAAAATTGGAAGCGCTCTAAACTGAGTTTTTGCCTTGTTTTAGATCAACAGCAGAAAAACTGATGTGATAAATGCTGAACTTGATGGGCACGTGTATCTTTTCAGCCTATGAAACTATGTAACTATGTGTAAGAATGTTTATATTTTTAGCTACCCTCCTGTTTATGTGAACTGATATGAGTATGTGGCTGGCTGAAGTTGGGCCTCTGCCTCCTCCTCTCCTCCCGATGTGCTTTCTCTATATGAAGTTGGGAGGAAGTGACCGGCTCTAACGTCCTCCAACTGCTCCTTCAAGGTCCTGGTCACACTTTTAAAGGGCGGCAGAGCCTGACCGGGTCCTTCTTCAGAAATACCCATTTGGCAAAGACCACCAATGGGCCCTTATAGTGTTCGGGCTCTGGTGCAGCCAATGCTACTATCTTGAACAACAAATCTGATCCATGGAGGCTCCACTTCACAACATTCAGGACCTAAAGAATCTGCTGCTAATGTCTTGGTGCCAGATACCACAGGACACATTTAGAGGTCTTGCCATGCCATGCCTCTACACAAGCTATTTTGTTGGCATTATAAAACAATAATAGACAGGTTTGAATCTTATGGCTGATCAGTGTTTATAATGCAGTAAAAACAGGGGGTTATTTTTAACCATTGTTTTCCCTTTAAACATCATGAATCTAAAATCCAGTTACCAGGGGTGAGGCTAGATATTAGTGAATTACCTGCTTAGTGGGAAACAAATGTCCTATTTTCATGAATTTATTCTCTGCTATTCTTTGCTATGGTATTTTAATACTTAAGTCGACATCTCGTTTAAATTTGTCCTGTCACTGTCATTTGAAGACTCAAGTTTAAATCTGCTTTTAATGCTGCATAATTTAAATGTATCTATTAAAATAGATACTTTTAGATAAAAGGAATTGATATGCAAAGTAATAGATTTATGAGAAATTTGAAATACGAATATATTTGAAAAGTATGTATTCTTCAGGGTCACAGTGATGTGACTCTGAATCTTATATTTATGTTTCCGATTATGTAATGCAATACATGGGTTGTAATTTTCTAGAATTGGAAATTTGTTATGGACCAAACTATAAATCAGGCAAACTGGGGCAGATCGTATGATCAGAAGTAATTGCAAATTCTAAGTCGCCATGTGCCAGAATCTCTGGGGAAACGCCTTGCACAAGCAAGGGTGCAATTCCTGGCACCAGAAAACAGCAGGATGGAATGTAAGCATCTGATTGTCCAAATTGCATGAAACGAATTGCATATGTCTTGTAAGAGGTTGTATTGGCAGTCTGGGCACTGGGAGCCCTATAGATGTGTAAGTGGTTGTGGTAGCAGTCCTGGCACTGGGATCCTTACAGATGTGTAAGTGGTTGTTGTGGCAGTCCTGGCACTGGGAGCCTTATAGATGTATAAGTGGTTGTGGTGGCAGTCCGGGTACTGGGAGCCCTACAGATGTGTAAGTGGTTGTAGTGGCAGTCCAGGCACCAGAAAAAGATTTCCTTAAGACAGGACAACTGTCAGGTTTCTAATAAGATTATTTGGGCAACATTTAAATGTGTTATGAGAGGATATCTAATTCAAATGGAAGCAAAAATTAGGAAAGCAAGAGGAGCAAATTTAGCAGACCTTTACATAAAACTTGCAAAACTGGAACGACGTAATAAAAAAGACCCAGCCCAGTTAATTTACACACAGATTAAAGTAGTCCAGGTTCAGATTAAATCTTTATTAGAAGAAAAATTTGAAAGGTCAATTATCGAAATCAAAGATGGTATAATAGTAGTACCAGAGCTGGGAAACCTCTTTCTTAAAAAACTCAAACCAGATTTAAAGAAATATGGAATAAAAAAAATATAGAAGGTGAAAAAGTTGATCTTTACCCCCAGAATATAGGGGAAGTCTTTGCAAATTAATATGCCTCCCTTTATAACCTACTGGATAATCAAGCTTCCCATATTGATTTAGATTCATTTTTCTCTAAACGCTCTCTCCCTAAACTCAACCTAGAAAAATTAAATATTTTTAACAACCCATCCCAGCTGAGGAAATTAAAAGAGTAATTATGAATTTTATAAACAACAAGGCCCCAGGCCCAGATGGCTATAAAGCATATTTTTATAAATTCTAAAAATGAATAGAAAAACTTCTACCGGGGGCGTGGCTTGGACGTCGATGGGGATGGAAGCATAAGCTGATCGCTCCGCTCCACCGGTCCCTGTAAAGCCCTGCTAAACATCTTATTTTAGCTCTCATGGGACGCACGCGCAAAAGTGAACCTCCTAAGACCCCCAGGGGTCCCCAACTGAGCCAGTCGCAAGGTCCGATGGATGACTACCTGCACAACACCGCAGATGCGAGTGGCGAGGCCTCGGGATCCAAGATGGCGCCCACCTCCTCCGCGCCTGGAGCTCCCTCTGCCTCAACCCTGGAGGGCATCGGAGAGGAACTCCGTACTATTGCAGCCTCCATGGCCACAAAAGCTGACCTCCTGGGGCTCACCACCACCATCCAGGATGCACTACGGGCCGAAATTGCTGGTATCCGGACGGAGGTAACCCTACTCCTACAACTCCGCAGATCTGTCGAGGACCTCGACAATCGCGGACGCCGCTGTAACATAAGGGTGCGCAGCGCCCCAGAGACAGAAGGGGATGAAGACATTGAAAGCTCCCTAACGGCCCTTTTTAGCCTGATACTACCTGGAGATGATCTGATGGAAATCCGATATGACAGGGCTCACAGGGCCTTAAGACCCCGCTCCATAGAAGATGGCCCCCGAGATATTATTTGTTGCCTCCATTCATTCTCCGTGAAAAATGCCATCATGAAAGCTGCCAGAAACCGACCCACATGGGAATACCGAGGGGCACAAGTATAATTATTCAACGATTTGTCGCCGGTCACATTGGAGGCCAGGAGGGCCCTGAGGCCTGTCACTTCGCTCCTCCGGGAACATAACGTCACTTATAAGTGGGGCTTCCCTTTTGCCCTGTCAGCTCGGCACCAAAACGGATGGGTGTCACTACGTTGGCCGGACGAGGTCCCCAGGTTTCTGGAAGATTTGGGCCTCCCGCCCGTACAGGTGCCCGACTGGATTCTGGGATCTCTGGATGCAGGCCCGAGACCACAACGCGCACCCCGCCGACGGAGGGGGAGATCTCCACCAGAACCCCCTCGACGGGATATGAGTAACGCCCGCAGCCCTGCAGGTGTTGCCCCGCTGGACTACCTCTGCCCGGCCTAGCCTCGGGGGACCGCCCGGATGTCGCTGGATGTTGATCCCTCCGGTCCTACTGTCTTCACCATGCCACATACGTGCTCTTCTCTCCTACTTTTGCATTTGCTGACCCTACCTCAAGTTGCAATGTAGGGGGATGCCAGACAACTACTTGGGTGGCGGGACCACGGGGGGTAAGAAACCTGAACTTCAGCCGCAATTAACCCTCCTTTCTACCTTAACCCACGACGAAGCTAGCTTCTGTGGTCTCCTCAATGACACTCCTGGTTCTGGACTGCCTAGTACGCTGGGTCATTGGACTCCAACCCTCCGCCCACCTTGATAAGTATCCTGCCTTATTATGCTACCGTGAGACTGTTTGTTGTGCATCATTCTGTACCTATGCTGGTGTCATGCAATGAGATCTGCTGGGTTGGGGCACTGTACTACGCAGGGAATCAGAGACGGTAATGAGGCTAATGACAGGTTGGTAGGGCACCCTGATTGTGGTGGGGGATGGCTATGGGCGGGGACGACAGGTAGGGATCCTCCTTCCGGTTTAAAAAATATTGTAAAAAAAAAAATTAGAAACCTAAACTTCAGCAACAGTTGACCCTCCTCTCTACCCCAACCCACGACGTAGCCAGCTGCTGTGATCTCCTCGATGACGTCCATGACCTTGACCTACCTATTGGGCTGGGACACTGTGCTCCAACCCCCACTTTGATAAACATTCTGCCTGGTTGCCTTGCGACTGTTTGCTATACACGATCTTATACTCATGGTAGTGTTGATCAATGGGACATGTTGGGCTTGGGCACTATGCTATATAGGGAAACGGTGATGGTAACAAGGCTGATGAACGGTTGATGGGGCACCCTAACTGACGTGAAAGGAAACTACAGGCATAGACGACCGGTGGGAACCTCCCACCCCCCTCCCTCCCCCCCCCATCGCCCCCCCCATCCCCCCAACACAAAAAAACAAAAAACAAAGACTGTTGGGTTACTACCACTGCAGTCACGGACTACCCCCTCTGACCCGAGCAGTACGTATAGTATAATGGCTCTGACACATACCTACCTGGAGCGAGACATAAGGAACCGAGTGGCGACAGCTCACGCCCTCGGTCAGCTAGCATACTTCGGTCAGTTGGACCCTGACAGATGGTGGAGGGTCATAACTGTCTGATGAGGCATACCCCGGGGATGGGCACTGGGGCGGACATGACGGCGGGGCGCACACGGGAAGTTGGCGATATTCGCTGTTGCTGGTTATTTTCACCCATGTTTCGACTTTGCACCTCTGATTTATTGTTTGTTAGTTCACACTCTGTTTACCTTTATGCTAACCTACACCCCCCATGCATATCCAGACTTGGGCCGGGACCTGGCTGGAGCGGGACAACTCCATACTTATAGTACATACAATACACAAATTGCATCTTTCCTGGTTTCGACTTCGACCACTATCCTACACTTACACTTGTGTAGGATCCCCAGCGGAGCCACAGGTACGTTCACTCACCGTTCAGGTTATCGGGGTGACACCTGGCCACTCCTGCTGGGACACAAGTGACCCTCCTTTCGAGGAGATATCGGGGTCACCACCCCTCCACACCCCGAGGGGGACGACACTCGAAGGGGTGACCCGTGCGGCTCACCCTTATTTAAAAAAAAAAAAAAAAAAAAAAAACCTTAAATACGAAATACGGTCACATTGTAGACTCCATACCCCTACCCCATTCACACACACACACACACTACACTATACACCCCCCGAGGCTGCAGTGCACGTTCAAACTTCATACGTCTAACGAAGGACGGTACCCAACCGACTACCTGACAGTAGCTGGTTCTGACGGGACTCCTACATACCTTATCTCAAGCGGAGTTGCGCGACACTCACTTGGGGCCACACTTCATAGTGGGTCGTCGACCCACCTAGCCTACGCAATCAGACTCGGCTCATGTGGCCCCTCCTTCCGCGGTTCTGCGCGCACGACCACGAGAAGATCCATGGCGTATACCCGTACCCCCCTGTCCATCATGACTCTCAACTGCAGAGGCTTAAATATACCGGAACGCCGCTCGCATCTGCTGAGAACCCTGCACCGCAAGCGCATATCTATAGCGATGCTCCAGGAGACTCATTTCAGAGCCGATGCGGCCCCCAAACTCCGAAACTCTCATTATCCAGTGAGTTACTGCAATGATCACCCGACCACCCGACGTGCGGGAGTGGCGATCCTGTTGGCCGCGGAATAAGGCTTCCGGGAAATGGATAGATTGACGGATACACAAGGCCGCTTCCTCTTCCTGAAGGGACTGATTGCAGACAGAATCTACACTCTTGCGACCATATACGTTCCCAACTCGAAACAAGCACAGTTCCTACGTGGGGCACTGAACAAGCTTCGCGGATTCTCGGAAGGAGTTCTGATAGTGGGAGGAGATTTCAACGCTCCGTTGGACCCTCTGCTAGACTCCTCCACCGGTCACAGTTGCATTTCACAAGCCCACATCAGATCTATCCGCAAAGCACTGAGGGAGCTGTCCCTGGTAGACTGCTGGAGGACACTTCATCCCGCCGACAGGGACTACACACACTATTCGGCACTGCACAATTGCTACTCCCGAATAGATTATGTATTTATCAAACAAGCTGGGCTGTCCCGCCTGTGGGCGGCAACTGTTGAACCCGCCACGTGGTCGGATCACGGTCCGGTCCAGATTGAGCTGGAATCCCCACTATTCAAACCGGCCACCTGGTCATGGCGCCTTAATGAATCCTTGCTTCAAGACCCTGCGGTAAAAGAAGAGATTTCCCAAGCGCTGGCTTCATACTTCACGGAGAACGAGACGGAAGGGATGTCGTCTGTGTCGGTGTGGGAAGCACACAAGAGTGTCATACGTGGCGTACTTATCAGTCTCGCAACCCGCAAGAGGAAGGAGGCGACCAGCGCAATGGCAGATGTATACGACACCATTAAACGCTTGGAACTCCAACACAAACGGTCTCAGCTCACCGAGACGTATGGCGAATTAATGGAGGCTAGGCGCACTTTGAACACTCTCCTCACAAAGCGATATCAACGCTCGCTCCAACGTTCAAATAACTTTTTCTACGCACATGCGAATAAGGGCAGGAAATTCCTCGCCTGCCTATTGAAAGGCGACACACCACGAACTCAAGTACGAAAGTTGCGCTTAACCTCGGGCAGAGTGTCTCCATGTCCAGAAGACATAGCGGATGAATTCAGGGCATATTATGACTCCCTCTATAACCTCCATCAACCAGGTGATCAGGCACCGGGCGGGGAGACACCGCCTCATGTACAAACATACATCCAGGATACCATACGAGCACGAGTGGACCCGAACGCCGCGTCCTTTCTCGACGAACCGCTCACCACAGAAGATCTCGCCGCTGCCTTAAAACACACTAAATATGGACGCGCCCCAGGACCTGATGGATTCCCCTCGGGGTATTATAAACAATTCGCCATGACGCTCTTACCGTGGCTGACAAGGGCGGTTAATGAAGTCTCGGAGGGAGGTCACTTTGGTACCGAATCCCTGACGGCGACCATAGCTGTCCTGCTTAAGCCGGGGAAAGACCCAGAACACTGCTGTAGCTATCGGCCAATCTCTCTGCTAAATGTGGATACTAAACTGCTAACAAAGGTGTTGGCGACTAGACTCCAACGAATCCTTCCGAGCCTTGTCCATGTGGACCAAACGGGGTTCATCCCGGGCCGGGAAGCACGGGACAGCACCCTACGCCTATTCTCAATACAACACCACGCGCGGAAACACCGAAAACATCTATTGCTGTTATCGACTGATGCAGAGAAAGCCTTTGACCGGGTCAACTGGGCATACATGTTTCAGACACTCCGGTCTATGGGCTTTGGGCAACGAATCATGGCTTGGATCACCGTTTTGTACAGCACGCCGAGGGCAGCGGTGCGAGTTAATGGAGCACTTACCACAAGCTTTGGGATCACGAATGGGACCAGACAGGGGTGTCCCCTATCGCCGCTCCTGTTTGCACTGTCACTGGAGCCACTTTTACAGGCAATACGGGACAACCGGAACGTCCACGGATACACTTGGCAAGGCACCGAGCATAAGGTAGCCGCATATGCGGACGACCTCCTGTTTTTCGTCTCCCAACCTCGGATCACTTTACCCTGTATACTATCAGAAATAGAACGGTTTGGCCGCCTGTCGGGGTTCCGGCTCAATCTGGCGAAATGTGAGGCCCTGAATATCACCACACCCGCAGCGGAATATGAAGCCCTCGGCCTGCTTTTTCCATTTCGCTGGTGCACAGAGGCAATGAAATACCTTGGCATCTGGATCACCACAGACCCCCAGGAAATATACCGTCGTAATTTCGAGACACTGCTGAGAAACATCGAAACAGACCTAACGAGATGGTCCTACCCCCACATTACCTGGCATGGTCATATAGCAGTCTTAAAAATGAATATTCTTCCTAGGATCCTTTATTTATTTCAGACTATACCAACGACCCTGCCGGAATCATTTTTTTCGACCCTGAAATCAGCGGTCATAAGATATGTCTAGAGGGGGGAACGATCCAGGCTACGCCATGACATCCTATGCTTGCCGAGACACAGGGGCAGCCTAGCCCTACCAGATTTTAAAAAATATCACCAGGCAACAGTCTTGGATCCTGGAGTGGCACGAAATGGATACAGGTAAACAATGGGTAACCCTGGATCAGATGGGAGATGCGGCAAAGCTAAAGGCAGCGGTCTGGCTGCGGAGAACAACCAGGGGCAGCAGGAAAGGCGAGGAAGGACCGGTGGCTGAAACACTGCTGGCTTGGGAAACCCTCAGGGAAATGCCTCAGGTCTCCCCGACCCCCTGTCCCCTACTCCCGATCCAGCACAATCCCAATATTGGAGGCGGACCACCGACAGAAGCATGGGCGTTCCTGGGTGGGGCGGATTATATACCAATCTACAAAGTTACTCAGGATGGTGAACTAAAATCTTTAGACGAGTTATTAGAGTCGCGCCCACGGTCCCCCATGGCGACCTTCCGATACATGCAGTTACAACATTATTACAACTCCCTTCCACACCGGGAAAAACACCGTGGTTTGAAGACGCCTGCTCTCGCGGCACCTCTCTTGGGAAAGCCATCTCACACCTCTACCAATACCTGCTAACTAGCTCTACCTCGGAAAACAACACTTTCCAACGTCAATGGGAGCGGGCACTGGATACCACGTTCACCCCTACACAATGGGACAAGGCGTTGATTTGGCAACACAAAAGCTCCTCTAGTTCCCGCTACCAAGAGGTTAACTACAAACTACTCTCCATGTGGTACCGAACACCGGTACTGCTTCACAAAATTTTCCCCAATACATCCCCAACGTGCTGGAGGTGCCAGGAAGAAAGGGGGACGCTTATACACATCTGGTGGGAATGTAAACATATTGGCCCATACTGGGATCAGATCAAATCCGACGTCCACCAGATTTTGGGGGATGATATCACCTGGTCGGTGGAACTAATCCTACTTCACGTCTCCACACAACCACTATCCGCATATAAAAAATCCATCCTGCGGCATCTGCTAAACGCTGCAAAATCGCTCGTACCAGTGTACTGGAAAAAAACAGATATCCCTACCAGGGAAGAATGGATCCACCGAGTTGAGGATATCCGAGTGGCTGAAGCTATGCAAGCAGAGCTGACGGGCAGGGGACCAAGGTGTGCGGAACTTTGGACTCCGTGGATTACCTTCCGCTCGCAGCGGTAGGGGGGGGCCGGGCGGGGGCTCGGGGCGCGCGATGTGCCTATGGCATGTGCTGCGCCCCACGATGGCCCGCTGGAGGTGGCAGAGCTGAACCGTACACCACGCATTTCTCTAAGACGGGTGGGAGACTTTGGAGGCACTGCCGACTGAGACAAACGGGTGACCGCGTGGACTCACAAGGGGGACATACCCTCAAGGATATAGATATGAACGGGGATACGACTGTACTACACATGACCCCCCCCCTGGACCCTCTCCGACTACTACATGGTATTGCAATCATGGTGGGGGGACCCTGATAGACTACATGACGAGGATAAGCAGGGTAACTACTAACGCGGACGATGGGCGTGCACTGCAGCCTTGGATTCGCACCCCCCCCACTTCCTCGCACACTTGCCACATCATTCACCGCTACACACTCCTCATATCACACCGTAACTCGGACAATCCTTTCTCCAACGGAACCACACCGCCCACTTATATACACTGTGACCGCACACATATACACCCCACAACCACATCCCGGCCGATGCCACTCGTATAAATACACCACAGGCACACATACCACCTCAGGCACTATACGGATTCCACTTCACTCACGTTGTCTCGTCTCTTATGGGCCTAGCCCGACTGTACGAGTCTACTAAATTCACATATTTCAACGACTTAATAGAGACAACAACATACCTAACTATGGGTACTGGATATGAACGAACATGGGAACTGTGATTGACCCTCTCCCTCATTGAAAGCTCGATGTAGATATCAACTGCTTATTCACTGTAACTTCATGTCCTTATGATAAATGGGGCCAGCGAGCCCGAAATGCGATATACTTACCTACACACAGGCACACATACCACTTCAGACACTACACGGATTCCACTACACTCACATTGTCCTATCTCTCACGGGCCTAGCCCAACTATACGAGTCTACAACATTCACACACTTCAATAACTTAATTGACACGACAACACATCTTACTATGGGCACTGGACATGAGCGAACATTTGCACTGTAATTGATCCGCTCCCTCATTGAAACCTCAATGTAGATATCAACTGCTCATCCATTGTAACTTCATGTTTTTTATGATGACTGGGGCCTGCGAGCCCGAATTGCGTTATACCTATTTACAAATAAACTTGATTATCCAAAAAAAAAGAAAAACTTCTACCCTCTGTTTTTATTGCTGTCAACGCCGAAAAGGCATTCGACAGAGTAAATTGGACATTTTTGTCAGCAACCCTCTCTGCTTTTGGTATTGAGGGAAATTCAAAGATCTAGCACTGTCACTTTATTCTACCTCTTTAGCGAAAGTGTATGGAAACTGACTAGATTCTTTTTGGTTTACTATTAGAAATGGTATTCGACAAGGCTGTCCATTGGCGCCTTTACTATATATTTTATCAATTAAGCCTATAGCAGCATGTATCAGACTATAACACAATATTTCACATGTCTACCTAGCCAACCAAGAACAGAAAATAACATTGTTTGCCTACTCCAGGGGTAGGCAACCTATGGCACTAGTGCCATGCACGGCATTTAAGGTGTCTTTGCACAGCACTCAATGCTGCTAGAGCCAAACAGGCTCTGGCCTATCAGGAGTCCCAGTAAAACTTCAGATATCTGCTAATATGAAGAGGTGGTGAAGGACAATCCTCAATTTAAGCATTGTAGCACATAGAGTGAGTGATCTCAGATCACTTCCTCCCAGCACTTGTGAATGGGAATCCACATGTAGTAAAGCAGCCCACAGCTGCTGTTGCAGCTCCTGTCCTTGACCTGTACCTGGTCAGCCTGGTCCCCACTGGAACACAGGGAAGCCACCAGAACTGCTAGATATTCACAGAAAGGCAGAATAACCCTCCCCTCATACAAATAATACGAACAGCCCACACACAACACACAATCCCCATAAACGCAACACCACTAACAACCCACATACATGCACAGCATACACACCTCAATTTAAAAAAAATAGGACCAGCATGCTACGGAACATTACAATCCTATATCGGCACAGTGCTGTTAAAAGGTTGCCTACCCCTGGCCTACGCCATAATCTTGACCTTGACTAATCAAGAGGTGTCCATTCCAACTATAATGGGCTGAGTAGAGGAATTTAGTCGTCTTTCTAATTACAAAATCAATGTACACAAGACCCAAGTTATTCACAATAATCTTGCACATTTACAGGCAGAATCCCTCTCTGAAACTTTTAGATTTAATTGGTCCAATAAATCCATATCATAGCTTGGCATTAAGATCAACTTTAATATTAATTCTTTAAAAGCTTGTCAGATAAATAGAGCACAATACAGCTCTCTTGGCTTGGGAGAATAAATACTCTTAGATCGTATTTGCCTCCCAAGTTGGAGTATCTCTTCCAAACATTACCCAGAAGTCCCCAGAAACCCAGAATTGCGCTTAAAATAATGACAACTAGGACAACAGAGGGGGGGGATTATCCTTTCCCAATGTTTTTCTTGTAAATGACACTATTATGTTCTCCCATTTCCTCAAATGGGGAAACAGAAACTCTAGTATGAAACTCTGGCATATGTATGTAAAGAAAAAGGTGTGTGGTAAATTTGACACTTTCCATCTTTTTTTGGATCGATAAAAACACCTACAGGAATCTGAACATAGACAATCTAGTAATTAACCAAGTTTTTCATTATAAAGATCAAATAAAGAAGCTTTTTGGCTCTTGTAATCAACTTTCTATACATACTCTTTTGATGGCCGTGAAATTATTCATCCAAGATTTGATTTAACTGAATGGTTAGAGGCAGGGTTAGTAAAGAACATTTACTATGCTGGTGGATTTTGTAAGTTCTCATACTTACAAACAAGATCAGGTCTTGATAATAAAGAACTATATACATATATGAGAATATTAGACCTCTTATGCAAAGTTTTAATAATAAGTTAATCACCCTTAGATAAGCTTCTACTCAGTGATTATGGAAGATTTCTTCTAAGATTAAGAAAGCCATATTCTCCCTAAACCAGAATACAAAACCAAGATCTATCACAGAACGGGAAAAAGATATGGGAAAAATGTTCTCTTTCCAGACCTGGATACATTTCTTTAAAACGCTTAGAAAATCTATTCATTGTGTGAATATGCAGGAGACTCTCCTCAAACTTACACACAGATGGCATATGGTTCCAACAAAGCTGTGTCAATTTCAACCAAACACTTCCAGCTTATGTTGGAGATGCAACAGAGACTCTGACTCATTAAACCATATCTGGTGGGATTGTTTTAGACTAAATAATCTTGCATCAGAAGTTACTAAAATTGTTATATACTTGAAACTAGATATCACTTTAATTCCAGATAGGTTTCTTTTCCATCTTGATATTCCCTGTCTATAAAAATCATTGTTATATCTAGCTGTTCATATCTTATAGGCAGGGAAACTTTGTATGGCTAGATATTGGAGAAAAGAGGAGTCTCCCAATATAGAAGAAATAAGGGCTCAAATTAACTATCATGGAAAAAGCAATTTATTATAGTGATTGCAATATTACAAAATTCAATAGGCTCTCGGATGTTTGGTTTACATATTTTAAGAACTGAAATTCTTTATGTCCACTACATACCTCATATTGGTATATATTATTACTCCCTATTCCTTCCCAGAATCTGGCCCCCTACAAGAACCTCTATTGGAACAACCCTTTATTATAAATAGTTTTTTCTAAGCTCGGACTTGACTGGAAGAGTTCTTCCTCCCCTTCACAGGTGTCTCAGT